ATCTGTTCTGCTCCCTACTCTCTCTGGTGAGTCCTCTCAATCCCCGCATCTCTGCTCTGTGCCCTAGTTCCTGTATACATGAATGAATAAATCTTTTTTTTTTTTTTAACGTTTTGGGTGTGAGGAATAGGAAGACAAGAATATTTAAGTTTTCTCTCTTGAGGAAGTGGTACCATTTAGCAAACTAAAGAATGAGGAATAGGTTTTGAGACAATAATGATTTCAGTTTTACGAATGCTAAAGTTAAGATGTCACTGAGATATCCAAGCAGATTATAGGGAACCAATAGTTGTAAGGTCTAGTGATGTAAATGTGGGGATGATTAGCAAAAATTATTCTCAACATAACTAACAAAAATGGCCTTTCAAGGATTTTCAGTTTTTCAAGACCTGTGTCCACATATTATGGCTCACTGACAAATCATTTCTCATTTAAAACAAAAGTGTTGTTGTAAGGAAATTAGTGCTGACCATTGCTCCATCCCTGCCAACCTCGGTCAATCCCTGCCTTCCCACTGGATAGGAAAATGTTATGAATTACGCTAATGGTGTTGATTGCAAACACTGTAAAATACACTAAAAGCCACTGAATTGCATACCCTTAAATAGTGACTAATTACATGGTATGTGAATTATATATCAACAAAATAAACCACCTTCTCCCCCTAAAAACTGACATATCATTTGCTTGAAACTACCTACTGACTTTCTATCTCATTCAGCATGAAATGAAAAGTCCTTCCTGTGATTTACATACTATTAATACATAATTCAATCCCAGTCTCATATTCTTCTATACCCTACCACTATATCCACTACCCTAACCCCAACACCAGTGGCTACTCACCAACAGTCACTTTGGCCTCCTAGCTGACCTCCAATATACTAAGCATGTTTCTACCTAGGACCTTGGCACATATATACTCTAGCTGGAATGCTCCTGACATACACACATATATATTTATCAATAGGACTCATTCCAGACTCCTGTTCTTCACTCAAAAGTCACCTTAATGAAGAAATTCCTAACAACCCAATTCAAAATTTCAACCCCTGCCCCACAAAAACTCTCTTATCAAGTTTTATTTTTCTTCATATCACTGTATACTATATGACTTACCGTGCATGTTTCTGTTTATTCTTCTCAAACAAAATGAAAGTTTCATGAGTATAGCAACTTTATCGACTTAACTACTACTGCACCTCTGTTATTTAGAAAAGATTCTGCATATATTAGGAACTAAATAAATCCAGCATGATAAATGCATGGATGGGTTAATTTGAAAAAAGGAACAAATAAACAGAGACAAAATGACAAACATGGGGGCCTCCTTGGTGGCTCAAGGGGTTAAGCATCAGCACTATGAAGCTATCCACAGCTACTGCAGCATGAGTTCGATCCCCGGCCAGGGAGGTGACCCACATGGCGCAGAAGACCTCTCCTATCTCACCTGCTGCTCCCCTCAAAAGTGTATATCAGGGTCTCCCAGGTGGCGCAGTGGTTGAGCACTGGGTTGCAAAGCTGCCCCCAGCCTCTGCAGCACTGGTTCCATCCTCAGCTGCTCCCCGGCCACCGGAGCAGGGTCCCACATGGTGCGCAGACTTCTCCTGCTGCCCACAGCTCCCCTCAGCAGTGTACTTGGGTCCTTCTGCCTGCTCTGCCCCCCCCCCCTCTGGCTCTCTGGCTCTGGTGAATTCTCTCACTCTCCAGTGCTTCTGACTGTACCCAGTGCTTGTATAAATAAATAAATAAATCTTTAAGAAAAAAAAAAAAAGTGTGTATCAGCTGATCTGCCTGTTCTGCTCCCCACTCTGTCTCTGGTGAATCCTCTCATCGCCCCGCACCTCTGGCCTGTCCCCCAGTTCTTATATTCATAAATACATAAATAAATCTTTAAAAAAAGGCAAACAGTAACTTGTTTTATTAAAAAAAAATCTACTAAATAATAACGTCAACATTCAAACCCAGGTCTGCCTGACTCTCAAGCCCAACCTGATTATTTCTATGCTACTTTCCCTAACCAATTTGAGCACACTGGGGAATTATATATTAGGTGGAAGAGTATGCATTTTATATACTACCAAGATATCACATACATACAGAAATCCATTTTTTAATTCCTGTCCATTTTAATGCAACTATAATCTATGGAAAAGCCTACAAAATCACCACACTTCATTTATTTTTTATCACTCAGCTATTTTCAAAAGTATAGTAGTTAATGGGACCTGAATCTCAAAAGACAAAAGCACCAATAAACTGCAAACTCCTAATTTCTCCATGCCCATTTAAGTATATCAGAGAGACTATGCCAAAGGAAATGACCTTTATACCTGAAATGGCATACACTGGGATCTAATCTTGCAAGAATCATTCTGGGATAGAAGCAAATAGGGATATAATACAACACTTATCTCCTTTCAACCAAGACGCAGGGGACAAATAACTTCTTAGATTTTTAAGATTAGGCTACAAGGGCTAGAAACAATAGGGCAAACAGTAAGTCACTCATTTTATTAACATCAGTTTAATACAAACATTCAAACATCTTAGGTCTGTGGTTCCAACCTTTCTGGCTTCTTTACTGCAAATGCTTTGCCTCTCACTTCACACTCCCTACAAAGACTTGCCTACTTCTATGCAGAAGAGGTAACTCAGAGCTTTGACTATTTAGAGAGATGACTAATACAAAGATCAGGTAAGCCAAACCCTTCATTTTACAAATGAGAAAATTCAGGTGCAGAAATAATGGTTCTCATTAAACTACGTGTAACTTGTTAGTGGCAAAGTCTCCATTAGTATTCATGTTTCCTGGCTTCCTCTCAGAACTTTTTCTACTTCTCTAATAGTAAAGATTTAAAAAAAAAAAAACCTCTACTGAGGAACTTCTTAAGTATAAGTGCTCCAAATACAGGGATGTGTCTAATTGAATCTTAAAGCTCAGAACTTAGATCAAGTACAAACATACTTAGTGATCAATTGTTTTACGTGTGAGCTACTTTCTTTTAAAAAGAATGGAAAGTCTATTTCTGATGCTAATCCATTAAATATTTTTAAGGCAGAATAGGCCTAACTTTAGACATCCGTTAAATAGTCAAAAAATTCCTCTAGTTTAAAACAACAATAATGCTCCCCACTTCACCACCTTCTTCTTAGCAAACTCCATTCATTGAAGTCACATATTCCTGGAAGAAAAAACCTGCCTCAAGTCTTAATTAGTTTCACCTAATTTATGCAGAAAATTTCCAAAAAGAAGATATCAAAAGAAAAAAATGCCATATGGTAGGATAGTTATCAGGTACAAATACTTGTTAAACATAACTTTGAAAAACCACTCCCGAAAGAATTAAAGACACTAAAAAAAAAAAAAAAAGAAAAGAAAAACCACTCCCTTTCAGTATGTATACCTACTCAGTATACAACTCTACTAAGAGTTCTGATAGCACCCTTGCCCACTTTTATGAAACTTGGGATGCGTGCAAAGCCAGAACTGAGATCCGCTGCTAGAATTGAATTTAAAGAAAGACTGTGGCTCTGATATAACAGAATGCATCCAAGTTTAATCAACTGTTTATGAAAATTGTAAAACTAATACACCTTAGGAAAAAACTGTAAGAAATGAAGCACTGTCTCATATGTTGAATGATCCTTCTAATAACAAGAAAAAAGGAAAGCAAGTACATAGTGATCTTCATTAAGGCTACCAACACTGAAGGAGTGAAGTGATTTGTCTAGGTTTATAAAACTAATAGATACAGCCAAGATTAAATCCCTACAAGTTTTCTGACTTGTAATTTGAGTCTCTATATATCACATTACAATAAGCTTTCAAAAAACGGGCTAAAGGGGCATTACAAAAATCTCAGAGGACAACATATTACTAGAGAACTTTTACAAAACAAAATTCCAGGGCCTCCCTGGTAGCGCAGCTGTTGAGCACTGGGTTGCGAAGCTGTCCACAGCCTCTGCAGTACCGGTTCGATCCCCGGCCGCCTGGCGAGGGTCCCACATGGCACGGCAGACCTCTCCTGCTAAGCTCACTGCTCCCCTCAGCAGTGTACTTCGGTCCTTCTGCCTGTTCTGCCCCCAGCTCTGGCTCTGGTGAATTCTCTCACCCTCCTGCGATTCTGACTGTACCCAGTGCTTGTATAAATAAATAAATAAAATTTTTAAAAAAAAAACCAAAATTCCAACATGAGAACAGTTGATATATATATATAAAGTGTATTTTAAAATAAATATGGATATTGCTGTGTCCTCCTTAATTATACCTCATGTGTTTTGTAAGGTAAGGTTGTGAAGCAATGTTTTATCATAAGCCTATTTCCTTGTGTTTCCCAAATTTGGTTCTTACCAAATTATGATGGGTATGAATGCAGGTACATAAAATACAGGTTCCGGAACCCTAATATGGAGATTCTAATTAAATAATTTCAGAATCTACATTTTAAAGCAAGCATTTTGCTTAGTGAAATTTGTAATAGTGCCCCAACAGAATTCTTAGAGAAAATGTAGGCCAAGAGAGTCAACCCTAGTCCAGAAGCCAGAATAGAAGAAACATAAAAGAAAACCCCACTTCAACCTTGTTTAGCTGCTGCCCTTTCCCCAGCTTCTCAGAAAAGTGGGCCTCTCCTGCTATGGGACAGATGTGGATGGCAAGGGCTTTCATTTTAACATGCTCAAAAAACTTAAGTTTACTAAAATTCAGTAAATCTAAACATGTATAAGACTGTGATAGGTACCAAAGTGGAAGCTTTCCCCACAGGCTACCCAAAAATTGAGACAAAGAGAATCTAGAGTGGGGAGTTCAGAAAGAGGGAAGGATCTGGTTTTGCAAGAAATGTTGGCTGGTTCAGTGACTTCCATAGTTTTCACGCAAGAGTTCAGAAAAAAAATCTCATGAATGAGATTCTCCAAGTGATACTGAGAACAGTCCCTAGAAAGGATTCCTAAACAGGATGTCATAATCTTATTTAACATAATGGTAATAATCTACTTACAAGCTGCCTCTTCTTGGAAGGCTCAACTCCTTCTGAAAAACAAAACAAACACAAATTAGACCTAAGTAAGGATCCATCTGAGTCCTTCAGTCTACATTCCATCCTAGGAGATTTACAGCATTATGCTAATAATAGCAAAGACTAAATATTTCTAAAATAACCTTTTCCTTTGTCTCTTAAATTTTAGTGAAATAAAGAGCAATCAGGTTAATTATCACCTCTTTATTCTTTCTTCCCCAAAGGAATGTCCCATACAACACCTGCAATGTTTTTTCCACTAGATGGAACCAATGTGCCAGTGTAGATTCCAGTACTCCTTGGGCTAGCCATTAACTGCCAATGAACTGTAAATGATTCCTATTATTAGGGTCAGGGATATGAAAGGAATGTGATGAGATTTTCTTTTTTAGACATAGTACAAAAAACAACATAACACAGATATGCTACAATACTGTCACTGGCATTAGAAACAAATCTTGCAGTAACAACTGGGGCCCCTGCGACTTGATTTCCAAGTTTACAAGTCCTACCTACCGATAGTCCCACTTTAACAACTAATCTGAATTTTTAGTTTATCTTTTCCATGTGTATCTTTATATCTTATTGCTCATCTATCCACAAATAATTATTGGCATTGTTTTATGTTTTTAAATTATACATACATATTTTCATATTATATGTATTCATCTGCTGATATCCATCAATATAATAATTAGGGGATTCACCCATGTGAATATATTTTACTTTAGTTCATTAATCTACAGTATAATATAGTCCAGTCTAAAATTTTATTTTCCAGTAAATGGAAATTTAATTTTATTCCCATGTTTTTCTTCTCCACCAAAACAATGATCCTATAAACATACTTGTTTCCTTCATGCACTTACATATAAAAAGTATCTTGGAATGCTCAACTTAACCTGTTTCTTGGAAGGTTCCACTTAAATGTGGAACTGCTGAGTCACAAATTATCAAAAAGTGCTCCCCAAGATGAATATATCAATTTAACCTCCTCCCTCCAACACTGTTAGAGTTGTACTTCCCAGACCTATCCCCAAATCCAACACAACAACTTTTCCTAATCAACATGTCAAATTCAACATGTCCAAAACTCAAATCACTCTCCACCAAAACTGACTCCATGCACAAGTCTTTCCCCATCTCAGATGATGGAAATTCTATTCTTCTGGTTGTTCAGATCACTAACATGGATGCCTGTTTTTACATGCCCCACATTCCACCCATAAAGAACTCTTAATGGTTCTAACTTTCAAAATACATGCAGGATACAACCACTTCACACTATCTCAAGACGTAAAACCTCTTAAACAAAAGTCTTGGATTTAGTGGTGTTTTAGAAATCAGAATTTGGGCACAAGGGGGTGGGATATATCAAAGTAATAACATATACATATTATTTATCTAACACTATCAACAAAGTCTCAGGCAGCAACAAAAAACATTAAAATTACTGCATCAAAATGTATGATAGTCACAATAAATGTGACTAAAAAATCTAATAAGTCTCAATTTACTTTTGCCACCAAAAGAATTCAAATTAAGTCACGTTTTACTGCTAAATGAGTTATGAAACACCTTCTAGTTTCTGATATTACAACCTAAGCCAACAAATCCCTGACTTCTCAATACTCTAATTGGTAGACTATTCTGCTTCTAACTTATCCTTATTCTATAGTTCATTCTCTACAAATGAGTGATTCTTTTATTTTAAAATAAAGTTAGATGATAATACTGCTCAAAAACCCTCAAATGACTCCCCATTTCATTCAAAAGTCAAAATTCACATAAAGACCTAGAAAGCTGACCCCACCCAAGCTCTATCCAATATCTCCTTAATCTCTCTCTTACACTCTTTTATCCAGACATCCTTCCATGTATATTAACAAACTCAGTGTGGAAAGTAAACCTATATATCTCTAAGAAAATATAAGCAAATATATTGTTCATCAGACACATCAGATGTTCAGCTTTAAGTCCCAATGCTAATCTATGCACTATGCCTATAATACTGCTCTTCCCCAAATATCTGTTTACCTCAACTCGCAACCTTCAAAGATCTTGGCACAGAGGGGTGTTGTGGCACTGACAAGATGGCAGCACCCAAGGAAATGATGTTTCCCTAGAAACAGCCACAAAAAGTACAGGGCTGCCTTGGAGAAGTAGAGACAAAAGAAACAGCAGGAACTCGCTCAATTGAGAGATTAGGACTCTCGTAGAAATAGGATGTTTTTAATTAAGAAAAATAACTAGAAGTGAAGCTGTTGGAGACAGGTAAAAATTACATGAGGCGTGGTTGTTAAAGGAGTAGAAGGCACAAGAGGAATTCAAAATAAAGAAGGAAGAGGGGGCAATTGGAAAATGGTAGGAAGAAGAGAGAAAGGAAGGAAGAATGGGAAGAACAGAAGAGAAGAAAAAGAGGAGGAGCAAAAGCTACAAAAAAGAGGAAACTGCAGCAGATGCTGAAGCAAGCTGAAAATTAGTTGGAAAATGGCGCAGTGTGGCAAAAACCCAGAATCACCCATGAACTTAAAAATAAAGCAAAAAGATGGAGCTAACTGCCCATTTTACAGTAAAAAAGGAGATTGAAGATTTGGAGACAGGTCTTCGCAGATACAATTTCCTATCATTAACCCCCACCTTATCAAATGTTACAGCGTTTGGCATGCAGCAGTGCAGAAGGGTCAACTGCAACCCAGACACCAGTCTGGGCCTAGATTTTATTAAGTATTTTCTCTGCATATATGAAAATGATCATGTGTCCTCTACTTTGCTAATGTGGCTAAATTACATTGATTAATTTTCTAATATTAGACTAATCTTGCATTTCTGGGTTAAATTCAACTTTGTCAAATGTAGTGCAAGATTCTCTTTGCTAAGACTTTATGAGTTAAATTTTACACCTATATTCATAAGAGATAATGCATTCAGTTTTCTTTTATTATAATGTCTTTGTCAGATTTTGGTACCACATGCTGGCATCCTCACACTGGCTGGGATATATTTCTCTATTTTTTCAAAGAGTTTGTGTAAAACTGGTGTTATTTCTTCCTTAAATATGATATAGTTTTCACTAATAAAAGCAATTAGGACTGGGGACTTTTATTTAGGATTTTGACTCTAATAAATATACTTTCTCAAGTTGTCCTTGTCAGTTTTGACATCATGGTTATACTAATCTCATGAAATGTGCCAGGGGTGTAGTTCTTCTTTTTCTGCTTTCTAAAACAATCTATATAAAACTAGAATATTGTTCTTTGCGTCTGCATGGCATTTCTGGTTACTTTAATAGTTTGTCAGTATAATGACAAATGGATTTTATTTAGGGGCAATAGTAATAAATGAAAATTCTATAAAATGCTCTGCTTATATTATATAAAATGTATATATTCATTTGCACTGATCCTATCTGAGTCCCTTTTAGGCAGGGAAATGCCCACTCTTTACAGCTATACAACAGTCTGCACTTGCAAGGAAAATGCCCAGCACATTTTGTGCCAAGTTCTCTGGAACCATAAAGATAGGGCTGAGGCAAAGTGGAATAAAAAGCAGTCTCCTATCAGATAAAGGTGGCCCAGGGAACAATGATTTTCCCAATCCTCCCTTTCCCAAGGAAAATTCATAGCAGGCTGAGGAGGAAAACTGCACAATTAGAAAATATGAATATGGTGAGAGCTTTCTCATTTTGGCAATTAACTATAAATTCAACTCATTACTCTGAGACCAGGAAGATATCTGACAATATATTACAGTATCAGGTGAAACCTATCTGAGTCAGCCTTCTTTTACCTACTAGTTATCTCCTGACTCTCCATAGTCTTCACAACCTTCCAATTAGTACTCTGAACACATTCAAATTCATCCCTCTTTGAAATAAGAAAGAGTTTCCCTTAATTACTATACATTCCCCTTCAACCACTGTCTTACCAATTCCTTTTCCTATCAGAACCACACTTCTTGTACGAGTTGTATATATTCACTGTCTCCAACTGCTCACTTCTTATTCATTCTTCAATCAACATAATGCAAATATCCCAAAACTTTAGCACCCTATTTAAACCATTCTTGCTAGGTTACCAATGATGTCTATGTAAAGATCCTCCACTACACATTTTTAATCTACCATTTCTTTCTTCCTTTTCTTTTCTTTTTTTTTTTTTGCTTAACTATTCAGCAGTATCAAACATAATCATCCATTCTTCCACCCTGACTTTTCTTTCAATGAAACCATATTCTCTTGTTTATCCTCCTATCTCTGAAAAACACTACCTAAACACCTTTGCAAGTTCTTCCCTCATCACCCTTAGATGCTGGAAATTCTCCTTTCCATATACATTTAACAGATGACTCCCAGATCTGTATTACCATTCCAGATCTCTGTCCTGAGTCCTATAGTTTTTACCACTACCTTCTCCTTAGTAATGCTTAAACTTCCACTTAACTTTCTATTCAATCTTGTTCTCCCTGTTTTCCATTTTAGTCATGGTACCACCAAGCCAGAGTCATTCTGACTCTTCATCATTTCCTCTCACACTACACATCCATCAAGTTTTGCCAATTCTACCCCCAAAATATCTAAAGTCTATCAATTTCACTTTATCCCCATTGCCATGCCTCCTAGGTCAGGTCAGTATCATCCAAAAACATTCTCCTAACTGGTCTCCCTTTAATTTAGGTTTGTTCCCTTGTTTTTTAATTTTATATCAATATAAATATCATATAATTAGTATCCGTTTTCTAGGTGACTCTGTGAGTTTAAAAAAACAAATAGGCAGTCCAAAAGTCCTTTTTAAAATGCAGAACTGATAGGGTCATTTCTCTCCCTAAGACTCAGTGAATAAAATCTAAAATTCTTTCTGTAGCCTACAGGACACTATTTGGTTTCTACTGCCTGCCTCCTCAACATCAATTGCAAAATTCTCAAATAAGCCAAACTTTTGGTCTATTCGACCTGCCACACACTCTCTCACCCTTGAGTCATCACACCAAATGTTCCTTCTATCTGGTATATGTT